TTATGAGATTATACGATTGAAAAGGAGGCTTTGGAAAACAATGTGTGCATTTTGTGTGTGTGTGTGTGTGTGTGTTTTGTTCAGGTGGATGTGAATGGGAAGAATTAGTTCTGGTGTATATCTCAGAAAAATTCTTTTGCAATCCAAATTGCTCACATTCGAGACTTTAAAGGCAGACATGACAACACTCACCTAATCTAGATGACCCTGCATCTTCTTTCCTGAATTGCCTTTCATCTTAATGAGCAACTTTCTGTATAGGTCTATATTAAACTTTTATGGTGTTTATTGCACAGAAATAACTATACCACTCAAATATAAAATGCCTGTGTATATTCGTACATAATCAACAGCTTGAATTTATATATGTGTCATATATATACATATATATATATATATATCCATCAACAGCTTGAAACTAATTAAAAAGGAGGTATAAATTGATTAAACTTCACATGAAAAAATATTGCTTTTCAAATGTCATTTTAAAATTACATTTTCAATTACATGTATATCAATATATTGAAAAACTGTAAAAGAAAACATTCACATTTTTAGGCACATTTCCCTTTCTCTTCTAGTTTTCCATCATTTTCTCCTGCTTTAAGGTTGATCTTCTTTCCCAGGGAAAGACTGTGCTGAAGGGAGAAGGCAGCCTAGGTGTAGGAAGAGAACTAAGTACAATGCCAGGGCTCCTGGATTCAAATCTCTCCACTCTACCCCAGTGAGGTAAATAATCTTAATGCTCAGGGCCTCATTTCCATTAACAAAAGAACCTTTATGAAATTATGTGTATGGAGATAAAACTAGCCAGCTCATAGCATTGTAAGACCTCCCTATTAAGATCCACAATCCCATCAATACTAAGATCTTTAACAATTTTTCACATTTTAATACCTCTGAATTTGCAAATTAGCTTGGAATGGATGATGTATCATCTTTAATTGGAAGCACATTTTCATTCTTAATGGTACATGAAACAACGGTGTTTCTTACAATTAATGATATCTAAATTTGCCGCAATACAGTTTGTGTTAAAAGCATGTAGCTGGTTTATGGTTGCATTCAAACTTTATGTTTTCTTGTTAGTACAAGATGAACACTAGCCTGTTTTGACCAACTAAAGACATTCACAGAGTCAACAAGAACCAGGAGGGACTCAATAAGTAGGAAAAAAATGTCTCACTTTTCCTTAAAGAGCCTTCCCTTGGTTTAATGAACTGCTGTTACTGTCCCCAAATTCTCAATAATTTTTGAACGAGGGGTCCTGCGTGTTCATTTTACTCAGGCCTGGGAAAATAGTGTAGTACAGCCTGGTACAAATGTACTTGGCTAAAAAAAATAAAAATTAAAAAAAAATTAAAGTCTGTTGATTCTTCTTGCCTTCACCTTCTGGTCCCAGTGATGGAAGACCTTGAACATCTCAAAAGGAGTTCTGAACTTTGTGAGTACTTGAATCACAATTTCAAGAACATAGTGTTCTGCTTTCTGAGTTTGTATTGTCTCAATCTCGCATCAGAGAGCAATTACACACTGACCTTCAAATTTTGAAGGTTAAAAAGGGATAACATATTTCAAAACCTTTGTCTTTTTAAATAAAGGTTCTTAGGGAAAGCCCTGTACTTTTTTTTTTATAATTTGAGGGAGAAACTATGTTCTATTAGACAGCATGAAGCTGTTTTTAAAGAATATGATTTAATATAGAGTTATTGTAAAAATCTGTTCTGTTTACATCTTTTGTCTGCACTCTATATCTGCATTTTTGTTGTTGTTGTTTTTATTGGGAACTAGTATTGTCCAAGCCTTTGGGCAATTTTCTTTGCTAAAACCAAAGTACACAAGAAACTGGAGCCTCTCCTTTGAAATCTATCACTTATAGTCAGATTTGATCCAGCAATAAATTATGAGTGTGATTCTCTAAAGTGCATACCTTAGACCCACAATTTCTGGATGACTTAAATGAACATGTTGGTAGAGTGAGATAATCAGACTTACTTAAAACACATTGAATTCGTAAAATCTTCAGAGGTAGGAACAGACTGTCTTTTTTCAAGCCTGCTTCAAAATCTGACATTTCTAAAAGCTTCCCAGGTATGATTGACCAGTCCGAGGCATTTAGGGAGCAAGAAGGTGCCTAAAGACTCGGCGAAACTCGCTTGCTGGTATCAGAGGAAGGAAGATTCAACTAATGGAACAAGACAAAAGTAATAGTGCTAAAAAGGGAAATAATAGGCGGAATTAAAAAAGGATCAGTGCTTTTTCTCATGGACCTAGGGAAATGCATGCATGGAGGACAACAACCAAAGGACACTTCAGACCATGATGTAAAACTGAAATGAGTTAGGTGGGGGTGTTCATTTTGAAGATTTCCAAGGTCAAATCTACCTTATCCCCCAAATCTAAGCACAGTATGCATGCTATCAAGAGTTAAATTCAGTGTTCTTAATGAATCATAAAAACAACCCGGAAGGCTAAGGAGGATGTTGTAAGATAAAGAGGAATTTAAAATCAGGGTTTTTGGATTCCAGTTCTTCAACAATTTCACATTGATTCTTTGGATGACTATTATTGCTCATGGTGTGGGAATCTCAAGATTGTGTATATTTGAGAAACTTCTCTCCCCCAAATCACATTTCTTTTTTCTTTCTTTCTTTTTTTTTTTTTTGGTACTAGGTGTTGAACATAGAGTCATTCGACAAATGAGACACTTCTCTAGCCCTATTTTGTAATTCTTTGAGAGGTCTCTCTGAGTTGCTTAGCGCCTAGCCTGTTGCTGAGGCTGGCTTTGAACTTGAGATTCTCCTGTCTCAACCTTCCAAGCCACTGTGATTACAAATCACATTTCTTATGGGGCCATTCTTTATAACTACATGTATTGCTAAAATTGTGAGTGTCCAATTAGGCACAGCAGAGTCTAGTGTGTATGTCTAATTCCATGTGTGTTCTTTCTTCTCCAGGACAGGCGTAAGAAGACATGGCTGCCTTTTCCAAAAATGGCTAATATCAGTATTTTATTAACTTCCTCCTTTTTTCTCCTTTCCAAGTTAGAATTCAGCCTAACTTCTCCTAAATGCAGGATCACAGCTTCAATCTTACAGGAACATCAGCCACCTGCATCTCCTTTTCTGACTGTGGAAGTTCTGGAAAAATCAGGGTGCAGGGGGTAAGTTTGAGAGAAAGATATTGAGAACGAGAATCATTGAAAAAAATAGTTATCTTTATAATGTGGCCTTTATAATTGTATAAAAACAATTTTATAGTTTTAAAATGTAATAAATATTAGAGCACTTTACCACTTTCACTTTTAAGGCAAGAGGAAAAAAAATTGAGGGAGTCAATGATTTAGAAAAACTTTGATTAAATGCATCAAGCAACACTTTGTTTCAATTGTTCTCCCCCAGGAGCGATATTTCCCCCTACCCCACACCAGGGAACCTTTGGCAGTGTCTGGAGACAACTAGAGGTACTATTGACATCTACTGGGTAGAGGCCACAGATGCTAAATATCCTATAATACTCAAGAAAACAATGAATAGTCTGGCCCCCAATGTCAATAGCACCATCATTGAGAGATCCTGTTCTATTTTATTCATAGAAAAACAAAAAGAGGACAGGCTGACTGCTTTAGGAATTACTTTCATAATTCCCAAAACGGGTCACTTCAACTTCAGAGGGGTCCCCTGTTCAGTGCCTCATCTCATCAGTGCAGACAGACACCAAGGGTCCTACCTTCTTGATCCATCTCCTCCTCACTCACCCTTTGTCTTTTTAACTACACCGACTCCCGTAGGCTCTGTCTCCTCTGGTAATTGGACCAATTCTGTCCCCTGCCTACGATTTAAACAGCTGGAAGCTTGACTTTGACACGCAGAAATCAGGAGTCTTGAAGCTCAAGGAAGCAAAAGTCTGTGCAGATGCTTAAAAATAGCCTGGCTCTGAGAGTGTCAAGAGGTAGACACTCTAATCATAAACATTAGGGAGTGTTCTAAAAATGTTCCAAAGTAGAATCTGAAAATCTGACAGAAGGTCCTTGGTCGGTTTGATTTTACATGAAAATCAGAGTTGGAGGCCTTCAAGGTTATACTATTAATTTGTGGAAACTCTCAAGAACACTATCTTACCTTCCCATTTTGACTTTTAGCTGCCACTCCCACGTTGTTTTGGTTCTTCTATCAATTTATTTTATCATACTTCTACTTCTATTTTTTGCTTCCATATAAATGCAGGGAAATGACTTTAGTGGACATTCCTACTGTGAGTATTTGCATTTTTGAACATTATCTGAATGGCACCATGAATTCAAACAATTTGAAATCACAGAGTCTTGCAGGTAGCAATCAGAATAATTTCATATACAGACAGAAATTATTATGCTGAGCAGGAAACCATAGCAGTGCACTCTCAAACATAAAAGCAATCAGTCACAGGAGTGCAATAAGAAGGAAACATTTGCTTAAAACACAAAAAGAGAAAGATGTAGTTTAGAATTATATCATTCCTATGGAGCCATTTGTATTTTTTTGTATGCAAATGTGATGGTTTTTAAATGCATGATATGGCTATATACGTCTGCATACATTTACCCACATACATATGTTTTTCTTGAAACGTTTCCGTGATTAGTCAATATTTATTTCTTATCAACAATTTTAAAATGTGCATTAGTGGGCATTATCAAATAAGTATCAAATAAGTAGTCTGAGGGATTTCAGAATCTCAAAATCCTCTCTGGACTTTTTCAGAACACATTATATATTTCCACACTAAAATATTGTCTTTAAAGAAGACTTTTTTCTGTCATTCAAAAGGCAAAAGAGGATAAGTAATCCATTCTTTGATGACTGCTAAATCTTCCATAATCAAAGTCAACAATAAGTGAAGGAACACTGCCCAAAAGAAAAAGGAAATAAATAAGGTGAAAAGAAGGAACGGTGACAAAGGAGCCATGTCTACCAGGACCAATACAAAAGACAAGAACACGATATCAGAGGGTAAAAATTTTCATTATAGATTTTAAAATATCTGTCTTCTGTATTAGCTCCATTTTTACTTGCGAGGTGGGCAGGGCAGGTCGCTTCTTGGAGTCTCCACTTCCTCACTTACAATATAGACTAAGAAAATACATGTGGAAATGCAGAAGAGCCACACATGTAAGCTAATATTTGATAATACAGCTGGTAAAGGGAACTTTTCTGGCTGTGACATCATATGTTTAAAGGACAACAGAACACACCTGTGATGAAGTTCAGCCTCTTGGACCCCTCAGTAAAAACTGTGGTCAGTTTCTTGAGAATTTGTGCCATAGGAGGGACTCCTGCCTCCTCTCTCCCCTCAGGATTCCAGAGCACTCAGTTCATCTGCTAGAGATGAAGAAGGCCACCTAGACGGCTGAGCTCTGTCATCTGGGCATCTGCTCCAGCTTCTGGACTTCATAGGATGTGCACACTGCTGCAGGAAGCACAGCGGTCCCTGAACCATGGGAAGGAGAGCTGTTGTCATGATGGCTTCAATGGCCAAATCAAGGGATGAGGATAGAAATTAATACTAATTCTAAGATACAAACAATACCCAATATTTAATGACCATTTACCAATTATCAGAACGAGGCTAAATTCTTCACGTTGATCTTCTCACTTAATGCTCACAACAGATTTCTAAGAAAACCTTTATTCAATTACTCCCATTTTACATATTGGAAAAGTGAGGTATGGCGAAATTAAGGAACTTGGTCAAGTTCATACAGTGAGGAAGACTTGGAGACAACATGAGAGAAGTTTTTTTGGTTTGGGGTTTGTTTGTTTGCAAAGTGTGAAAATGCCTACATTTTTCCCAGAGATGGCATTCAGGAAGAGTTGAGAGGCAGAAGGAAAAAACGAGAAGGGAGAGAAGTTTGCAGAATACAGTTTAAGTTGTAAAGACACATGGGTCAGTATAGAAGGGAAAAGAAGAGAAGCTCCAACAATACTTCCCTGCTTTCTCTCACTCCATGCTTTCTCAGGATTCAGATTATAGGTTAGACTCTTTTTGACATTGGGAATGTGTCTGATGCTTTGACTAATTACTTGTCTGTTGATCATGTTTTCTGTGAAGTTAAACTGTGTCCTAGGGGTGAATGCAGTGTTTATACCTCGAGCCCCTCTCTCCTCTTGCAGTGGAAGTTGTTCAACTCAAGAACAGAGTGTTTTAGCAGCCCCTGGAGATGTGGGCGTGTCTTTGAGAAAACAAAATTCAGTGTATTCAGTGGCTGCCTCTGGTGGAAAAGTTCATGTGAATCATAAAAGGGGCCCAGGAAGCAGGGGAATCACCTGCTGCTCTAGCTGCAGACCAGCGTCCCCAATCTCAGGGTGGCCAGACTGAAACGCATGTTCTGTCTCCTTTAATTTGCACATGGGTGTCCCTGGGGCACTTTCATCCTCCCTGGCATTCCTTCTGTCCCCTCTGTGAGAGTCACAGTGGTTGTGTTTTTGTTCCATTTTGAGCCCTCTTTAGGACCATCTACCACTCCAGCCTCAATTCCCTAAGGCTGCTTAAGCTTCTCATGTGCCTCAGGTACCCTCCATGGATGGTCTCTCCATGTCTCCAGGGCCACCGCTGACATCACCACCCCCCATCACTGTCTTAGCCAGGTCCTGCAGGAGCCTCTTCCAACACCACCCCACCTGCTGTGCATTGAATGCCCCCCCCCCCAAATTCATATGTGGAACCGTAACCTCTGATGCAGTGGTACTTGGATGGTAGGTACATCCTGCTCAAGGTAGGATACGTCTCTCTCCTGGCGAGGCCTGTGTGTGTTTCCTTGATGATGTCAACTGCAATTTATCCTCTCAGAGAATAAAAGGCACATCCATTTGGGTGGCAGTCTCTGGGCAGCAGAGCTGTGCAGAGTAAGAAAGGAAATCACAGTTGGGGGGAACAGAGGACTCCAGACTTCTGGTCAGCAGCCAGAAACTGCTAACCTTAGGACTTTTTTGTTAGAGTCTGACTTGGGCCAGAGGGAGAGATGGTGCAGTGTAAAAAACCTGGGCTTTGAAGTGACCTGGAAAAAATTCTCTAACAACCAAGAGAAAAGAATGCTTGCCTGGAACAAAGGATGAAATGGGACAGTAGACACACAGACCCTGGCATGAAGCTCATCATGGGCACCCCGTGGCTGGCTTGTGGTTCTTCACATGCCACCTTTGAATATGCACTAAACCTGTTTTAAAAGGACCTGCTTTGAATGTTCTCTCTGATATGTGGATGCTAACCCACAACAAGGGAGGGGAAGAATAGAAGTCCATTGGACTAGACAAAGGGAAATGAAGGGAAGGGGCACGGGGAAAGGAAAGACAGCAGAATGAATCGGACCCCTCTTTCCCATCCTCACATATGAATGCACAACCACAAGAATGGGATCCTAATTAGAATAAGTCAGACTCATTCTCTGTACGTATAATATGTCAAAATACACTCTACCGTCATGTATATTTAGAAAGAACAACAACAACAAAAGGGCCTACCTTTAGGAGTAGCAAATAACAGGAGCACTGAAATATTGGGTCCACTTAGTGACTTGAGGAGGGCAGAGGAGAAGGCGGTAAATATCCTAAAATAAGGAGAGTGGAGGGGACAGCTACACAAAGACAAGGACAAACTGAATCTGCTGAGATGCCTGAGAATGAGGAGCTGGCTTGTGCTGGGAAGGGCCCTGAGTCCCCAGGACATGCTCTGGGCCTCCCTCTGTTTACGTGCTTTCTGGGGCCTGGGTTGCTTCCTGCTCCCTCCTCTGCCTTACCATGTAGATTTCCTGTGCTGTCAAGGATCAGTTAGGAACAACAACAACAACAACAAAGCAAGTGAATCTCAAACTAACCTCTGCTCTATTGGCTAGCTGCTCTGCTAGAAAGGTTTACTAAATCAGGACTACTGAGTGTTGGCCATTTTTGAAAAGCTATTTATAAACTTCCTTTATCAATGTTCTCCTGAACTCCATCTTTACATGTGGGGGAAAAAAAAGTCCAGTTAATTTTATTCCTTTGGACACAAAGCAGATTTTAAATGACAGATTCACATTGTGCTGGGGTAGGGGGAGGGGTTCTCCAGAATGTGTAGCTTTTATGGACCAAACTTACTGAAGTTGAAGCACGTGAAATTTTAGTAACATAAAAATTGTCAGCATTAAAAAAAATACTAATAAAGCTCGGGCTCATGTTATCTGTGCTTATTTGTGGTACGATATGATTTATTGTACTTTTTTGCAAAGGTGCTGGCCTTGTGAATTGTCTTCATTTCACTACAGAAGCTACACTGAGTCATGTGCTACCTTGGTGCAGAATTTTGTTTTCTGTTTTCATATTTATGAATTTGTCCTCCCGGAAAATATCAAGGTCAATTTCTGCCATTTGTGGCAAAATGCAGAAGGTTTAACTGAAGGTGATGTTGATTATGCATGCATCCAAATATAGATGATCTGGGTCTTCAATATTTATTTAAAAACCAAAAATGCTTAGATGGGAACACATACAAAAGCATAAAGTAAGCAAAACAAAGCAAAATGAGGGGAAAAAATGAAATAAAATCTAAAATATGTTTTTTTAACCCTTAGTGTCATGCTGTTTGAGATCACAGAACCTGGGCTCTGTGGTGACTAGTTCTGGATTAAATATAAGAATCTAAAATGAAAATATGAAAGTAACAAGAAATAGCCAACAAATTAAGTTTTCAATCAAACTGGTATTTTTGGGGGGGTGGGGGGAAGTACCAGGATTGAACCCAGAGGCACTTGACCACTGAGCCACATCCCCAGCCCTATTTTGTATTATATTTAGAGACAGGGTCTCACTGAGTTGCTTAGCACCTTGCTGTTGTTGAGGCTGGCTTTGAACTCACCATCCTCCTGCCTCAGCCTCCGGAGCTGCTGGGATTACAGGTGTTTGCCACAGCACCCGGCCAAACTGGGATTTTCATTTAGTTGATGTTTTGCTCTTCTGGGAATATACTTTTTTATGTAAAAGAAAATAGTGAATCCAACTCCACATCTATTTTGAAATGAAACAAACAACAACAACAAAAAAAAAATCAGAGAAAACGTTAAGATTATAGACAATTTACCGAGCTCCTTTTTATGCAGTTGGGTTATAATTCTGGGATATCAACAATTTCCTCAAACATCGAGGAACAAAGGATGAAGCACAGTAGGTAAAAATGGACAGAAAATATCAGTGGATGTTATTCACCAATTGTCTTGTTAATTTTACCGAAGCATGTAGAGAGAGAATCTTCCAGTTAGAAATCAGATTCAGTAAAACCCAAAAGATGGAGGTAATCCAATCTACAGAGACTGAGGCCTCCTAACACACATGCCACAGAACAACTAATAGCAGGACATTGGAAGCCTACAGGAAATGGAGAACTTTGAGAATTCAAAGGAGAACTGAACTTCAATTTGACTGCCTGCAAAATACAGACATTCTAAACATGCAAGGATTCAGAAGATTTAATGCCCCTACATCCTTTCATAGAGAATATTATCCACCAAAACAAGGAGATAAATCAAGAAATAGATTAAGAGAGCAGCAACTCCAACAACAGGAACAGGAAGGGAAATCCCTGGATGACCACATGGGTCCCTGGAGATCAACATATCCAGATTAGGAAAGGGGGAAGAGGACCCTGGGCAGGAAGTTTCCAGGAAAAAGAGGAAAGTGATAGGTCATCAGACCCAATAAGAGTATTTTTTTAAATGTGATTTATTTTGTGTGTGTCATTATTTTCCTTTTCTTTCTTTTTTTCTTTTGTATTATTATTTTTATTCTGATAATATATACATAGAATAAGATGTACTGTTCAGTGGCAATAAGCACATGGATATGGATACTGGTAGGTAACCATCAACGCTATCCATCTCCACCAATTGAAACATTCTATCCATTGAACAATGACTCCCCATTCTACCTATCTTAAGACCAGGGCAATCACTGTTCTGTTTTCTGTTTCAATTATTATGAAAAATCTAGGTATCACATATAAATGAAATCATACAATATTTGTCTATTGTGACTGGCTTAATTCACTGAGCATAATTGAGGTTCATGAGATTCATAAATGTAGCAGCACATGGCAGTATTTCCTTCCTTTTTAAGGCTGAATAATATTCTCTTAAATGTACGTCTATAATATAATGTACATTTTGTTTATTCATGCATCCATGAGGGAACACCTGAGTTGTTTGGTCATTGTGAATCATGTTGCCATGAACACCGGTGTACAAATATCTGAGTCCCTGAATTCAATTGTTTGGGGTATACACCAGAAATGAAATTGATGGATCATTTGATAATTCCAAGTTTTAAGTTTTGAGAAATTACTGTTTTCTACAACCTTCAACCACTCTACATCCCCATGAGCAAAGTATAAGGGTTCCCATTTGTTCACATAATTGCCAACACTTGTTATTTTCTGTCTTCTTGACAATAGCCAATCTAATGACTGTCAAGTGGTACTTTGTTGTGCTTTTGATTTGCATTTCTTAATGATTATAGATGGTGACTATATTTTCATGCACTTATTGGCCATTTGTTTCTCTTCTTTGTACATATGTCTATTAAAGTCCTTGCCCATGTTTTCATTGAGTCACTTTTTTATTGTTGAGTTGTATAAGTTCTTTTTATGTTTGAGATAACAACCCCTTATCAGATACATTAATTGCAAATATTTCCTCCCATTCTGTGTACTGTATTTTGATGCACAAATATCTTTGAGTTCAAATGAAGTCCTGCTTATCTATTCTTTCATTCATTGACTCTGCTTTTGGTTTGATATTCAAGGAATCATTACCATATCTAAAGTCATAATACTTTTCCTCTAAGAGTTTTCTTCTAGGAGTTTTATAGTTTAGGTTTAGGTTTGAGTTTTTAATCCATTTTGAGTTGGTTTCTATACATAAGGGAAAAGTCCAACTTTATTCTTTTGTGTATAAATATTCAGTTGTCAAAAATAACTGGATCATATATGTGAAGGTTTACTTTTGGGATTTCTACTGTTTTACACAGGTCTATATGTTTGTCTTTAGGTCAGTCTTATGTTTGTCTTTATGTTTTGATTGCTATAGTGTTGCAGCAAATTTTGAAACAAGAAGTATGAGACTCCCAACTTTGTTCTTTCTAAGAATTGTTTGGGCTCTTCTGAGTTTCTTGAGATTCAATAAAAATTTTAGGATATATTTTTAAAATTTTTTTCAAAAAAATAAAACCCTGCCAGGATTGATATGGATTGCACTGAATCTGTAAATTGCTTTGTGCATTTTTAATATTTTAACAATAATAAGTCTTCCAATCAATGAACATGGGATGTCTTTCCATTTATTCATGTCTTCTTTAATTTCTGTCAGCAAAGTGTTGTAATTTTTCATGTATACATCTTTTGCCTTCTTTGCTAAATTTATGTTAGTGTTGTTTTTTTATGTTATCATAAATAGAATAGATTTTTTATTAGTTGCTCAAAACATTACAATGATCTTGACATATCACATATCATACATTTGATTCAAATGGGGTATGAAAATTCCAATTTGGATTTTTTATTGTCAGTGCATTGAAATGCAACTATTTTTTGTTGTCTTTGTATACTGCAACTTTGCTGAATTTATTAGTTTTTTTGTGGACACTTTATAGTGTTCTACATATAAAACCATATTACCTATGAATAGAGATAATTTGACTTCTCTTCTTCTAATTTGGAAATGAATCCTCTTATTCCTTTTTATCCTCTAACTTCTCTGGGCTAACTTCCAATATTATGTTGAATAGAAATAATGAAAGGACATGTTAGCCTGAGCTTAGAAAAAAAGCTTTCATTTTTTTTAACAATTGAATAAGATGCTAGTTGTGGGTTTTTCATAGTCTTTATTTTGCTGACATAGTTTCCTTTTATTCCTTGCTTGTTGAGCATTTTTATCATGAAAGAATATTGAATTTTTTTCAAATACATTTTCTGCTTTAATTGAGATGATTATATGTTTTTTCCTCTTCATTCTATTATCACGGTGCGTTACATTGGTTAATTTTTGTATATTGAACCATCCTTGTGCTTCAAGAATAAATTACAATTGGCTATTACATATGATTTTTTTCATACATTATTGAATTAAGTTTGCTAGTATTCTGTTGAGAATACTGTTCCATAGTTTTTTTTTTTTTTGGTAGTATCTCCATCTGGTTTTGAATTCAAGGTAATGCTGGATTCAGAATAAATTATGAAGTATTCCCTCCTCTTCAATTTTTTTGGAAGAATCTGAAAAGGAGTAATATTAATTCTTCTTTATAAGTTTAGTGGAACTTGTTAGGGAACCCATCTTCCAGTTTTCATTGTCAGGAGGTTTTTGGTTACTGATTTAATCTTCCTTACTAATTTAGGTCAATTTTATTTCTTCATGATTCAGTTTTGGTGGTTGATGTGGTTCTAGGGATTTGTTCATTTCATTGGGCTATCCAATTTGTTAACATATAATTTTTCATAATATTCTCTTATAATTCTTTTTGTTCTTATAAAATCAATAGTAATGTCTCCTCTTTGATTTTTTAATTTCATTATTTGAGGCTTATCTCCTTTTTTTTAGTAAATCTGGCAAAAATTTTGTTAATTTTGTTGATCTTTTCAAAGATCCAACTCTTGTTTTCATTGATTTTCTCTGTTATTTTTCTTTTGTTTATTTTATTTCCCTCTGCTTTCATCATGATGACTTCTTTCCTTCTGCCAACATTGGGCTTCAGTTTCTTTTTTTATTTCTTTAAGGGGTAAATTTAAGTTGTTGATTGGAGATCATTCCTCTTTTCAATGTTTTTACAGGTACAAATTTCTTTTTTTGCCCTGTTTTTGCTGAAGCTCATAAGTTTTGATATAGTGTATCTTAATTTTCACTGAAGATATTTCCTAATTTTCCTTGAGATTTCTTCTTTGACTCATTTGTTGTATAAAATTGTCTAATTTCCACATATTTGTGAATTTTCTAGATTTCCTACTGTGCCAATTGCTAGTTTCATTTCACTGTGGTCATAAAAGATATTTTATATGATTTCAATCTTTTCACATTTATTAAGATTTGTTGTGGAGCCTAACACATTGGCAATCCTGGTTAATATTGTATGTGAATCTGAGAAAAATCTGTAGTATGTTCTGTTGCTATTGAGTATACTGTTCTATAAATACCTTTAG